GTTTTGTGTGACTGTTTCAGCATGTCGCTTTTCTCCCAGTACAAATGTGAGTAAAAGACCTGGTGTTACCTGGACTGAACCAGGCCAGGCAAACTCAGCTCTGCCTCAATCATGTGCCACCACCTTTCCTCAAGGGGTGCGCCAAGTGGGCGTTGGGGTCCTAAAGACACCCACAGCCCTGCCCGCCCTCCCATCCTCCACCCTGCCCATGTCAGCCTTGACCCAGAAGTGGGACTCTTCCACTCAGACAGTGAGCCCACAGCATTTTCTGATGATGCAAACCAGAAGGTGTTTTGCAAGCCAAGGTGGGTCAGAGAGCTCAGTGGTGCTCTCTTGCCATCCCAGGCTGGCTTGTTGTGTAGATAAATGCAATCAGGACCTGAAAGTCAAGATCTGGACACCATGTGGAATAATTTTAAAGTAGATTTGCTTCTATTGGCAGGGCTTCCTTTGTATTTCTGTGTGAGTATGCCTAAGTATTGATAATCATTGTTGACTGCACTCAGTATAAAAGTCTTGGACACTACAGTGAAGAAGAAATTGCATTTAGAGTAAAAGACCTTTTTCTTGATCTCCCTTCAGCAGGTCTGAAGATCAGAACAAGATCATTGTTTTGCTGAAATTTCTAACCTATGGTTTGCTGATGCAGCAGTTGCCTATTGTTAAATTACTATCTTCACTTAGTGGTATAAAATCGAGGTATAAAATTCTGTGAATCCTGTAGCTGAAAAGGACACAGTGGCTCCTGAACCTGATTGCACTAAAGTCTGTGGCATACTATGAGGATCCCAGCCACAAAAAAAAAATTCTTCTGTGCTGGTGCCATTCATCTGAAGTTTTTTTAGCTCAGGATTTGAAGAACATTTGAAGAACCAGCTAACATCCTACTATTACTACTGTATTAACAATTTTTACAAAATTTGCATTGAAAAGCACATTTATTTATGTCATATGTGACTTAATCCCATTCCCTGGACAATTATTGGCAGAATTCATTGACATCATTGAGCGCAAGAGTGGGAAATAGTCAGTCCTTTTGCTAAGTAACTCTTACTGAAATAATCCAGTTTTGCTACTTACTCTTTATCATTGCTCCTTTTTGTCCCCTCAAAGCTGGCAGTTGTTTTAATTTCTTTTCCATTAACTAGACTAAAAAGTAACTTGTATTTTATTATGAACTGAACTGCATTGCTTCCTGTGGCTGCTCATTTCTCATTTTCTGCTGAGTCTTCCACTGTGCTGGCTTAATGCATTAATGGGGAAAATACCTTTTGACACTGGTTATAGTCAACAAAGCTCTGCAGTGCACAGATATAGAATACACATTCCTTTTGGTACATTAGAATCCAGATTATCTGCAATTAATAGACTCATAAGAAGTTCTCCAATGGGTCAGCTGATTAAAGGCAATCCTGTTCCCTGAGAGCTCTAATGCTGGCTTTTACAGCTAACTTGTGTAGATCAGTGCTTCTTCCCTATCCTTGTGCTCATCACCAAAGGGTCATGTTCTGATTTTAGTGCTCAGTTAAAGATTTGTAAAAATGCTGCTGTGATGTGGAAGGAAAGGAGCTGGTGGAACAAATTTAGTACTCCCTGTAAGCAACTCTAGGAACCACGTCGACCAAATCTACACCACTGAAAAGAGCAATGTCTATTTTTAAAATTTGATGCTGGCACTTTCAGGTGCTTCTGACTGTGCCCCTTAAAATGAATCAATGTTTTGTTATTTCTTAATTACTCAGTGTCTTTCTCTGCCCTGTCCCCCTCTTAACACCCTCAGTAATTTACCTCAGGCACATAATCCTTCATTTCCCTACCTCATACATCCCAGTCTCAGAGTGTTTGAACCCTTGCACCTTTTCAGTCAGTATGAAACTTGACACTGAGTCATCAGATGTGAATTGGGATCAGCAAAGGCAAAGCTGTGGACATAAGTTGGTGTAAGTAATCCAACAGTTCCATTGCTGTGGGCTCAATGCTGCTTCATCCCACATCTATTTTTGCCTTTTGTTCTACATTTGCTCGCCCAGCTGCCTGTGGCTGCCTGTGCAGTAGGAATGGATGGTGACAATGGAGCAGCTTCCCTAGGGAGGGCATGCAGTGACTGTGGGCACTCCCAGCATGTCCAGCACTATCCAGCCCAGCACCCAAATTAATTTCTGTCCATAGCTGCTGTTGTTGGTAGGGCTGAGAATAGCCAGGGTCTGCCAGCACTGCAAGATGTGAGAAGCACAGAAAGGTCTGAAATGCCACAATGGTTTGGAGTAGAGGCAGACCTCATTCATTGCCTGTGCAGGCAACTCACTGTTGGGAACAAAGTCTACAAAGCCAGGCTTTCTGAGGGGAATTATGCAGGTGAGCTTCTCTGCTGGATGTATAGGGAGAAAACGCACTTTCAAACATGCTGCATTCAGTTTTCATTAAAATAAATCTGAATTTTGTTTTTCATGCTTTTTTTTTTTCCTCCCTGGAATTCCCCTCCTACTCCAAGATGATTTATGTTTTCTCTGTGGACAACCCTTACACCAGAAGATTTGAGGAACTACTTTTACCATCATATACATAAATTCTAACTGGCTAATTAAGTGTCAGCTAAAAAGCACTGCTATTATATCCAATGGAAAATTTCTGCCTAATTGCTCTGGGCATCACCTGGTCTAATTGTAATTGGCTGGGGAAGGATTGCAGAACTGCTACTCTGCAATGTTTACTTCATCCTGGCTGCAGGGAGAATTCCTTTAAGATGTGATTAATGAAACAGAGAGTGGATAAGATGGAAGAAAAACAATGCCTCTGACTTCTGATATGGCAGCGGGCAGTTACGTTCAAGCACTCGTGTGCTTTGCGACAGCACTGGCCTTATGGTTTGTCTCTTCTTGTGCCTGTGCCTTGGGCAGGCATGAGACTTGCAGAAATGTTGACCTGCAACAAGTGCAAAAGGGCTGAACAGACCAGGACTGCACCAGTCTCAGTCAATGGGATTGTTTTTGTCCCTGTGAAGGACTCAGTTCATATATTTCAGTAATCAACCTGCTGTTATCCCTTGTAAGTACCCAGAGGCTAAAAAGGCTGCATCTCTCCCCAGCTTTAAAAACAGTTAAGAATATGTTTCACCCACAGATAGAGTGAGTGAAGCTCATGAGTGCTGATGGCATTCCCTGAGGAGCAACAACGTCACATCCTGTGGAGGTGTATGCAGAATGGGACCTGGAGAGTTAATTGTGCACTGGAAAACCAGAGTAGGCTCAGAAGAGACAGTACAAAGAAAAACACATATGTGCAAGTTCCCCAAGTACAAGCACTTCATGCCATGTTGGGACAACTCTTCTGTATGGCTTTAGGGAAGAGATATATTGTGTAGTTCTGGAGAGACATGTTTTCTTTGTCTGTCTTGAATTTTATGAAGAGGATATGAAAGATGATGTCTAGCAATTCCTAATCTAACAGTAACTACAACTAAACACAAAGGCTTTTCTGCCTTTGGTTTATTTCTTCTGTCTGCACTTTCTGCTGTGATATATGTTAAACATTTGGGTGAGACATTAGAGCCTGCAGTTTTGCTGCAATCACTGGCCATAAATCTCTCCAGTCCTGCAGTGGACAGGTTTTGCTTTTTTACTCAGCAGTGACAAATTACAGACAACTTACAGAGAGCTATGCAAACCTGAGGTTCATACTGCTCCAACCACCCACTCACCTTCATGGTTTCCAGCATGTTTCAAAAAAAGGAGCAACTTCAGTTGGGTATGCCAACAGAAAAGGATTTTTGCAAAGTACTGTCCATGTCACAAACCTTCCTGGATAGAGATCTAGTTACATTTTGTGCAGGAAGTATTACAAGCCCCTCTGTACAACCTACACAGAGGGATGTGGCACTTTGTGCTCTTTGGGATTATCGCTGAGCAGCAGAGGCCCTCATGAGTAAAAGACAGTTGGGGTGAAGATGCAGGACCTGGGGCCAGTTGAGCTGCTGCCAAGCACTGAAATACATGTGAAAGAAAGTCAGGGCATATTTTTGCCCAATCCTACCCTTGGTAGATCTGCATAATTTTCATGTATACTGATGAGTACCTATTGCTTCGTGAAAAGCTCTTGGCCTTTAAAACTTGAGAATGGCTCAGGAGGTCCCTGAGAACCCTCATGAAAGATACAGGAATGCAAAAAAGCCAATGGGGAAATAAGGCAAAGAGATTTCAATTGCAGTGTTAACAAGAGATGTTTTCTGCACATCAGTGTTCCCTTCAATAAAGGTACATTGTCAGTTAAAGATTTGCTTACCTGTAGCATGGAAAAAAGAATTATTCCCCTGTTTGAAGCCAAAGTTGTTCAGACTTCTAGGATAAGAACTTTTCTGTTTGATTCAGGGACCAGGAGATTGTAAATATAAATGTAAATATAAAATGTAAACATGTAAATATAAAAGAAAGCAGTAGGACCTCATTATATTTAATCCAGAGTCTGGATAACTGGCAGCTGACTACAGGGTTTGTTTATACTTACATAAAAGTTGTGGTAGCCCTAGTAAGTAGTTCTGTCACGGTTTCTTACTCTTCCTTTGCTAATGAAGAAGTATGTTGTTGCAAGTTTCAACAGGTTTGGATTTCTTGTCTTCTGGCAAAATTTCTTCTGCCAATCAGCTATGAGGCTATAAAAATTTAAGGGCCAGACCCTGAGTTTGTGGCATGTACACTATATAGTGATTGTTCCTGTGCACAGTGTCAACACTGTGTGACTTTGTGCAGACTTTGTGTGTTCTGATGCATTTTTGCCAACATCCAGTTGCAGCAACACTGAATTCATAGTTGGATGTCTTTTCAAGCCCTTGGTAGTAAAATATTGAAGCAGAAGTGAGAAAGAGATGCTTATACAGATCAGAAGACTGGGTACAGTCACTTGGAGCCTGACAGAGAATAACATATTTGTAAATACTGGTGCTTTAGAAACAAAGAAACAAACAAAACCCCAACTAAGCCCCTAGAATTAATATTCCTACTTCTAAAATATTTCAAAATAACATTCAGATATTTTATTCCAGAGAAATGTTTTGTCCAGCAGGGGGTTAAGTGTGTTTTGCCGACAGAGAACAGATACATAATACATTTACAGAATTTAATGCATTAAATAAACTTAGGTGATTTTTAAATCATCATTAATTTTGATAACATTTGAATTTAAAACTCTCTGAGGCTAAATAACATCCATTATTTATTTTTGTTCCACTTTCCTGTTTTCATCACGCAAGAACCAAAAGTGTTTATTTTACTGGCAATATTGAAACAATCACATGATTTTGAGTAAGTCTTTTGAGATTGTTTGCAAGTTTTTCTCTGCTGCACGTCTGCTTTCCCCCAGCTGGGGGCTGGCTGTTGTATGGGAAGGCTGGCCACGTCACGGAAAAGCCCTGTCTCTGATCAGATGGGCTTAATATAAACCAGGTTTGCTGAGAAAGAATTAAAGAGGCAGACCCAAAGCAGGAGAGGATTTACTTCAGCAGAGCTGCTCAGTGTGTCACAGCCCACCGAGGGAGAAGGGCAGGGGGAACAAAGGACTGGACTGGCTGCGGGAGCCTGGCACAAGTAAGAGTGGATTTGGACCCAGTCTTTTCCTGGAGCTGCTGCAGACCCAGGCAGCTAAATGCAGTATGGGGTAGCAAAACCAGTTTGAACTTGGAGCACAGTGTGTGACAGGGACTCCTTTGGCTTTTTTTAATGAGGGATGACAATTTGTGAGAGGCTAAATTGTAAAATATTTGTGTTTGTGATGTTTTTGTGAGTGACTGCTTGTTGCAGGTTGTGAGTTACTCTGTTGTTTGAATGCGATCTGGATTTTCTCATCTGATCTTTTCAATGGGGATACTGAAGGGAAAAGTGCATTTCAGAATTCAACCACAGCAAATATTTAAGTTTGTTTGCGAAGAAGTCTTTGCTTAGTACGTGATTTCTTCTTCAGATGTATCTCTTGCTGACAAAGTTATTGTGACTAGGACCATGAAAACGATCTCCTTTTGCCCCAAAGTACTGCACATCACACAGAAAATATTGTGTATTCTGTAGTAAATTCAGATAGTGCTTTTTCTATATATTTTGTCCTTGGTCCTGCTGGGAATTTAGTCACAGAAGTTTTCAGACAGTTTTTTATGAAGAAGAATAGCAATTTGTACATGTTGCTTTACTGTACTTTTTACTGTTCACCATTTATTATTGAGCTTTGAAAGTAGTTGGGTGAATTTTATGGACAATTATCCTATTTACTGATATGGAGGAGAGAGTCAAGAAACATCAGATATAGGGCAAAAAAGAAAAATGTCTGAATAATGGTCACTTTGGAAACTGGAGTGCATCAAAGTAACTTTCCTAAAAATGGTAGGTATTGGCCTGTGAGAATGACATCACTCTTCCCTGCCTCCAAGCAAGGCAAAATAGAGTTTGCTGAGTAAAATGTAATTAAGAGCTATGCTTATTTTAGAAGAATGAACCTATCTAATTAATTGTGCAGAAATTAAGTAATTGATTTAATATCTATAAATTAATGAGCCTTTTATCTCAGTTCTATCTCTTGTAGAAGCTATAACTTGTACCTCCTCAGAAAAGCTGTTGGATTTCACTATGTCCTCCCTCTTACCAGCCAAAAAGTCACTGTCTGAGGCCGAATCATTCTTTGTTTACCTGGCCACAGACAAGACCCAAATCCACCCCATCACAGCAAGACTTGCTTGTATGACTTTTTGTACCAGGGTTGTCTCAAGAGTGCAGTGAATTATGACTTATTGCTTTCCCAAGAGTTTCAGCTCTTAACTGAGTCAATGAGAAAGATGCTGTACACCCAGCTGCTCCGGCAGCTGGAGGCAACTGGGACCAGTGTCTCTGTCTGTCCCCAGTGATGCCAAAAGGAGGTGAACATTGCCTGTACCACAGGCAGTCTCTCAGCAGGGCTGCAGCTGCTGTGTAGGACCGGTGTGGCGAGCACTGTCCCCTCCTTCTCCTCCTGGGACGCAGCAATGCCTCCCTCTTTCCAGGACTGGGCTGCACCCAGCACAGCCGTGAGCTAGTAAAGGCTGAACAAGATAGGATTTAGCATGTGAGGGTGGTATTATCCCTGGGAAACAGTCTCTGTCTCACTAGCTAATAAATAAAATACTGCTTTGTGCACCACCAAGTACGCTAGAGTGCAGAAAGGCTAATTTTTCTTTTCTCACATATTAGGTCCTTACAGAGGAGCATGATGTGGCCCCTTGAAGCTAGTAAGAGAGCATTTCTAAATGTTTCGTGGGTAACATTTGTGATTTCCCTATTTTTCACTAGGGGTTAAAAATGACTCTCAACAATGTTACCATGCGTCGCACACACAACAGCAGCCCGCACCAGCAGCAGCAGCGATGGAGCATCCCTGCTGATGGAAAGAATCTGCTGGTCCAGAAGGACTCCAATGAGTACAACCCACAGAAACGATACACCATCAGTCCTGATGAATATTACAGAAGGAGCTGGTCCTCGGAGTCATCCGACTCTGTCATCTCCTCCGAGTCTGGCAGCAGCTGCTACCGCGTGGTGCTGATCGGGGAGCACGGCGTGGGGAAGTCCTCGCTAGCCAACATCTTTGCAGGCGTGCACGACAGCATTGACAGCGACTGTGAGGTGCTGGGAGGTAGGTAATTATGTCCTGGGGTGTTGGTGTTTGCCTGCAGTCAGCTCTGCCTGTAGTAATTGGCACAGAAAAAGAGAGAGGCCATTTAATGGAAACCAGAAGTAAGAAGTGTTTGGGTCTGATTATAAAAACTGATTGAACTCAAGCACCTCTTTTAAGAAAAGAAGAAAGCAAAATAAGATGAGTAAGATACTCTCCAACAATGACTGAAAGCCACTGAAAGAGAGCAATTCAGATTCTTATGCTGTTTCATTCCAAAATACCAGTTGGAAACTGCCTCATTCCTACCTGTGATGATGCTGCACAGGAGTCTGCTTTAGCTTTCATAGCTAGTCCAACATTGGTGTTACCACTGGCATCACAGGGCTGACTCCTGCTTTCCTTTTGAGAGAGAAAACAACTGAAGGTCCTCATGATTTACAAGAATTAAATAATTTAAAATAATATATAGAGAAAGTTACATCCAAAATATTTGCCATTAGAAGTATGTATGGACTGAATAAAATATATAAAATTTTGAGTAAAAACCTTGTTTCATGTTATTTGCACAGTATGTGCTCCTCCAGAAGATGCTTCCCCCTTCTTTCCCCCCTTGATTTGCTTATGATTGCAAAGTTTAGGATTGCAAAGTGTTTTTTAATCCCAAAGATCAGACTGTGCAGAAGGTGAAGTTGGAGCACCAAATCCTGGGTTATACTGTGTGCAAGGTGTTGATGTGGAAGGGTTGTGCTGCCAAGAAATCTGCTGTGTCTCCAAGGATGTAGTCACTGCTGCTTTCAGGGGACATGCAGTTTGCTGCCAGGTTTTGTTTGTCACTGCTCAGGGCTTTCTTTGTCTCTCTCTTCTGCCTCCTGCCTATATTCCCTTGGTGTGATGGTGCCAGTGTTACCACAGAGAATTTCTGGGCTTCTCTTCCAGACTTCAGTGGGGCATAGGCAGGACATCTTCTTTTCTGTGTATTTAACTCTCCAGTTAGGGGAAGTTTTGCCCAGGATTTAAAAAAGCCCAGTATCAGGAAGGTCAGACTCACATTTTCTGTACCTGCTGTCTCAGACTGGGGACACAGCGATTTGTGCCTTTGGAGGTTTTCAAACACACTGATTTAGGCATGCTCCGCCTTCAGCTCCTGCCATCAACTTTTTCCATATTTCTAACAGCTCCTCAGCCCGAAGTATCTCTGATAAAAGTTTTCCTAGTGCTGAAAATGACTGAAGTAGAGTAGGATCCTTGGACAAGCCATCAAAAAGTGCAGCTGATGTGCTTTGCACACCCCTGTCAGGCAGTTTTCTTTTCCTTCATGTGAAGCCATGTGGTTTCCTCTTTCCATCTCGCTCCCAGCAGCATTGCTTGGAGTATAGCAATGACAGATTTTCAAGGCCAGCTCTGAACAGATAAGGAAGGCTTGGTGTTATCTCTCTCCCCTTTTTACTGTCAGCTTCGAAAACAGCATAAAATGAACTCACTTTCTGTGTGTTTTATATTCTATAGAAGTTCCTTTGGGCTGACCAAGGTGCAAATGAGTGCTGAATATGACTATTTAGGCATAGTATTTTCAAGGAGTGTGATTATGCATTTGTAGCTTCTCTATACGTAATGCAGTGCAGAAGGAGTCTTCTGGTGTGCATGGAGCTTGTTCTCACACAGATGCTCGGATACTTGAAGGAACTATTTAGCTTTACAAACTGGAACTTTAGCTTTCACACTGGAAATTTAATTGCACGAGGGGATAGTTTCAGGGTAGCCAGCTTACAAAGGAGTACAGCTGCTTTTATAGAGAGGTTTTGCTACTGAATATAAGAATAAGCTAACATGAACACAAGCCTCATACTCCTGGGACCTCAATAGAAACAACTCCTAGTGATTAGCTCTGTCTTTTTAGTCTTGACATTTTAAAGCATGGGCTCCATTTGACTTTATTTTAAAGGTGTAATATTTTTAGATTATTCTTTTACTGGGATGTAGATCCCTATCTTTGAAGGAAGGCTCTGATTACAATTTAGGGGAAAGTTCACTTCATCAGTGCACAGCAGAAGTCTTAGGAGATTAGACAGGTTAGACACAACCCTATCTACAAGTGCAGTTGGGACAGTTCCTTTAAATGCTGCAGTACCTTAAGACCAGCTTTTTTTTTACTGGCCACTAGTGTGAGATTAGAAATGGGTCCAAACCCCTCACTGCTCATCACCCCCAGCTTTGGGGAAAAGAAGAAATATTGGTATTTGAAGCAGATTTCACAGCAAGGCTTGATCAAAATTCAGAGTGGCAACACCCCCCTTAGATTAAGGCAGAATTTTGCTAAATGGCATTTATGATCTACGTATGAATTTTTATGGCTGCAGTACAAATTACAGCAATAACTGACCTGTGCTTTTTTCATTTTTCTGCTATTTGGCATCAGAGGTGATATGGGAAACTGTGTAATGGGAAAGAGTGTGCAACAGAGGTCTCAATCTCTCTCAGACTCGGCTGTTGTCTCACAACACCCTATCCTCCTCACTTGGTAGGCTGTTTGCTGTACTGCTCTCAGCAGCAGTGACTGTTCACCCGTAAACTGTCCATGCTAAAGCGAAAGCAAATATTTTCCATTACTCAGCCTTGCTGGACTCTGCTGCTCCCATGGGGCAAATGTTCAGCCTTTGGTTATTTCTTCCACTGGTTCTATTTTCTCTCTCCCACATAAGATAAAGAGACTATCAGCCAAAATAATGAACATTTTGTTTCCTGATCTTTCAGCCTCCTCCATCTATCATGGAAAGTAAGGCAACCAATAATGGACAGAGTGCAGATTCAGTGTGGATGGAAATGAAGAAAGAACTGGATGTGAGCCGACCTAAAATTTGGCTCAAAAACTCTGTGAAAAAATCCCCCACATTCAACAACTTGGATTTTTTAATGTGTATGATAACACAAAATAATGTATCACCAACCTTTCTGCTTTTCCTTCCAGAAGACACGTATGAAAGAACTCTGATGGTGGATGGGGAAAGTGCGACTGTTATACTGCTCGATATGTGGGATAACAAGGTACTTTAATTTGTTCTGGTCAAATGCTGACAAGAAAGTGTATATGAATAACTGCTAATATAAAAAGCAAATTTCCTTTGGGAAAGAAAATAGGTGTTTCCATACAGCATAATCAGGGAAGATATAGGATTAACCCTACCTCACATCAAGGCAAGCATGCCTAATGGCTCTGCACTGTGAGCGTAAGAAGTGCAAGTCTTAATTTATTTTTAATGATAAAACAAAACATTCAAGCTTTCTTTCCAGATCATTTTCATTCCAGCCTAAAGCCGGCACAATAAATTATCTGGGGCAAGTTTTTGCCCTCCTTTGTGGTGAAGTATTCATACCATCATCACATTGGAATTACTTGTAGTATAACTGTGATTCAAACCGTATCCATTACAGTTTACAGCAGGAATGCATTTGGATTCTCTAATGTTTTACTTTCTAAGTAAAATCTGCTCTGGGCATAACGATGTCTGACCATTTAATTTGAACAGCGGGAGGGAGAATGGATTCGAGACCACTGCATGCAAGTGGGAGATGCCTACTTGATCGTCTACTCCATCACTGACCGAGCAAGCTTTGAGAAGGCCTCTGAGCTCAGAATACAGCTCCGCAGGGCACGCCAGAAAGAAGATATCCCCATTATCTTGGTTGGCAACAAAAGTGACCTTGTCAGATGCCGTGAAGTTTCAGTGGCAGGTAAGGAAATTGTGAGCATAAACCCGATATAAACATTCAAAGTCATCTAGTAGCTTTTGGACAAGCTGCAGTGCTCTGGCTGAAGAAGTACACTGTGATCAGGACTAGGCAATAAAAGAGTAATAAAATAAAAGCAGACTGCAACAGAAGGCAGAGGACTGGGAAGGGTCTGCCAGGTCCTTAATTCTTCCTTGGTAATACTGTTATATATCAGATAATCCCTTTTCTATATTTATTAAGTACGATCATAAATGGGATTTATTCCTTTCCAGCTCCTAGTGTATGACCACTGCAATATGCGATTTCTCTGGTAGCTGGAAACCCTTTGTATTCCCAATGCATGTTTATGCATAACAAGTTTAGCCCCCTTTATTCTGCTGCCAAAAATTCTCTTCTTTATAACCAGTTCTCTGTCATCCCTAACAAATTAAAAATCCCTCTCAATCTTTGTTTTGCTAGTCTAGGCAGGAACTGTGCAGCCTTTCAGAAGAGGTTTCCTTATTGCCTTGCTTTGGGATGCTAAATCAGCCTTCCCTTGGCTGCATACAAATGAATAACCACTAAGCCCATAAATAGGAATGGGGAGACTGTTGGGAGCACTGCTGCTGGCTCTCACGATCTACAGTCAGTAAAATATCTTCTTGGAGAGTATTCCCTGAGGCTGAGGTGACACACTGTAATACACAGCTGTGCATTAGATGTTCTTGTCTTGGTCCATCAGAAACATGAGTTCTTTTCCTCAGCATTTTCTTCTCTCTGCAGCTGTTCTGCTCTTCTGTTTCCCAGCTGAGCTAGACTTTTCTCCTTGCTCTGTGGATGTGTGCAGTTCCTCTGCCTCCTGTCACAGCTGCCCCAAGTGAAGAGCTTGAACTGAGGGGTTCATAGGATGCCCAGGGTTGCCTTCTTATTCCTCTTTGTCCAGCTTGAACATTCTTTAGGAAGATGGCAGGTCAATCCATGTCACTTTAATGGCCCTGGCAATGAATTCACAGCAAGCCAGAAATTGGCTTGTGTGAAAAACACCTGTCAGGTTTAGCTTAGGCTCATGTAATTGAGAATAAGAACTGTGCTTTCAGATGTACCCCTAAAGCCATAGACACCCTTTATTAAGGGTTTTGTACATGTGTCTGTTCTCACTGAAATTTCCAGGGTTCCAGGGCTGTGGTTTACACCTATGCCCATGAAAGAGGAAGGTGCTCTGCCTGCAGTGCTGTGCTCTATGCCTGCAGAGTGCCATCATCACCCTTCAGTGCAGCTTGAGGGAGTGTGCATTGCAGCTGGCCAGGTGGTATTGAGGCACTGCTGACCTCCCAGCCTTCAGCGCCTCAGTGTCTCAAATCTGTCATTCTGCGCTACCTTCACAGCCAGCAGTGCGGGCTGGGCTTTACTGGGAGGGCATTTACCCAACTCTACACCCTCCATTTCCTCTGGGAAGCAGCTGTGACACAGGGCAGATGGATCCTGGGCTAGCAGGCAGCATCAGGTGATTAAAGACTTATCTGTGCCTATATCAGGCTTGAGGAATTCCCCGGTGGCTCTGACACCCGCACATGGCAGCTTGTCCCTGCTCCCCCCGCCCCGAGCCTTGTGACCCCATGTAACATGTCCACCCTGTGATTCTGCAGAGGGGCGAGCCTGTGCCGTGGTGTTTGACTGCAAGTTCATTGAGACCTCGGCAGCTGTGCAGCACAACGTCAAAGAGCTCTTCGAGGGCATCGTGCGGCAGGTCCGGCTGCGCAGGGACAGCAAGGAGAAGAACGAGAAGCGGCTGGCGCTACAGAAACGGAGAGAGAGCATCCCCAAGAAAGCCAGGCGCTTTTGGGGCAAAATAGTTGCCAAGAACAACAAGAACATGGCCTTCAAACTCAAGTCCAAGTCTTGCCATGACCTATCAGTACTTTAAGAACACTGGACTCTGCCAGAGCTTGTGGCATTTTGTGGACATTATCTAACTTTGTCATAGGACAATCAATCGATCTATATTAGATTGGGCTATCAGTGACTTAGGTTCACAGTTGTGATTGTGATGAAATGTGCTGGCATAAGAACAGTACAGTGCATGGAAATAGCTCTTCCTTTTTTTTTTTTTTTNTTTTTTTTTTTTTTTTTTTTTTTTTTTTTTCTTGTCAGTAGATTTAAAAGAAAAGTATAGACCAGAATTACCCAAAATTGTGCTGGGAACTGTTCTGGAATACACCTATTCTTTCTCTTACCTTTGGATACTAGTGTAAGAACCTCAAATGCCATAACTTGGGAAATGAATACTACTGTCTTTACTCTTTTTCCTCATTATTAATATTTCTTTTTTAAAACTGTGTAAAAAATTGAGGAACTGACTAGAGATTGGTCCCTTGTCAGTTGGCTGGTCAGGCTTGAGCACCCACAGCTGAAAAAAAAATGCATTTTTGTAGAATAATCACAACTACACCTGTTTGGTATTTTTTCTTTATTCCGAGGATTAGTTTCAGTGAGTTTACACACCTCTTACTTTTAAAATATTTAAAGGAAAAATCCTACAGTCAAATAAATTTTCCTCTCATGTTTTCATATTATGGGACTGTTTAAAAATCATAGTAAAATTAAAGTGCAAGTTGTATCAAAGTGCATCAAGTGCAGGATGCCAAATCTTTAAAAATCACCTGAGCTTTTTTATGCCACCACATGGACTTCTTGTATCCATCCTTGGCCTTTCTCTATGCCAGATCTATGCTGTATTTATTGTTGTGCAAAATAACAAGCATTTCAATGTTGAGGAGAAATGTATTTATTACCAATTTTCTTAAGATAATAATGTTAATTTTATTACTGTTTTCTATCTAATATCTTTTTTCAGATATGCAAGTTTTTACTTACATGCCTTGTAATAAAATAAATAAAATATATGACTGCCTTTGAGCCTCACTAGAAAATCCCTAAGAATGTTTTCATGTACAGGAAAGATTGTGCATGCTGGGAAAGTTTGCTGCTTAAGAAGTGCAGTGAGGATTCCTTGCATTTCTGAATACAGACTGAATAGCCTTTAGCCTGGAAACACATTAGAAATGTAGATGAGTACTGTTACCCCAGTTTTGGAGATGAAGAGAAGTGAAATGCTACATTCAAGGATAGAAAGCAGGTAGCTGGTGTGGTGTGCCCTAATCCTCACTTGCTGTTGGGCATATTTGTGTTATTTTCCTCTTGGCTATGCTGGTCAGAGGTACAGTCATGACATTTTTGGCCACGTGTCTCAGAAAAGCCAAATCTCCAGCCTGGCAGCTCATCTTCTCAGATGATGAAGGCAAAAATGTGCAACACTAAAAAAGTGAGACTTGGATTCCTCATTTTGGGCTGCACAGTTTTCATGTACCAAATGCGCTGGACAGGAATGAGCCTGCTGAGTGTTTGCCCACAGTTTCCTCTGCTGAGGAAATTACTTCTAGAAGTTCTGTAGGAGGAAAGCATCCCATTACAGACTGACTGAATGCTTGTGTGGTATGAAGATCTCCCTGGAAGGAAATTTCTGATCTAGAATAAAGTGTTGACAAGAACAGAAAAAAACCCTTTTGAAACAAGCACAGACAAGATCCATGTTGGTGGATTTTGGATGAATGCTTTTGAGGTCTCAGCATGCAACCTAAGGTCAACCCAGAGCAGTCTAGAGAATTTTGTTTTCAGAACTTTTTAACTCTCAGAACCTTTATCTCATTCAAAAATGAAAACAAAATCGCACAAATTAATTTTTAGGATTATATTTATGAACTGAAAGTATAGCTGTACGCAAGCAGCACTCTTCCTTAATCTATTCTATATCTGTCAGACTACAAATCTAAACCAAACAGATTTCGAAGAAATGCAAAATGTCCATGTTGATTATGCATACAACCCTTAGGAATAAAAGCCATCCATGTTCAACATTATGACATCAGGATACATCAATGATAAAAATTTGGAATTGCCCAGTAAGTTTTCATATCCTTGCTCATCTCTTTCCACTCCTTCCAAGATAACAGAATTTCTTTCTAAAACACATGATTTTTCAAAGAAAAAAATCCAGCGAGGTAGGCCCATTCCCCCAAGATGTCACAAGTTGCCACAAGGAGCTGTGCAGTGGGCATGGCATGTCACCTGACGTTTCCTACTCGCAGCAAGCAGACATTGCTGCAATTCTATCTTCTGGGGCTGCTGCTGGTCTCTGAACAGCTCAGTACTGCCTTTGGACCAAAACCATTTAACCACCTTTCATGGCCCTTTGGTTCACCCTGCAGGCTCCATGCTTGCCACGGGTGCTCGGGCAGAGCGTGGGGGAAGCTGTGGGGTGAAGCCCACAGGCAGCATCTCCTCCATGGAGCTGTGGCTTAGACCAGGCTGTGTTATTTCTGACCTGTGGACATGGGGTGAAAGAGCTGGTGCTGAGCATCTACACTTTGCACATTTCAGGGCTTTTCTTGTTTTGAACCTGGTCTGCTCCTATGGATTGAATGTCCTGGGACTGTGGTTCCTGAGGTGCACTCCTGAAGGGCACTGTGAGTTCCACCTGGAGGAAACTAAATCTTATGCTCTGATCTTAATGGCTACAGCAAGCTGGGTTTGGAGGGAGGGCTGAGATTAATCTGAGTCATGGTTTTAGCTGATCATCATCAGATTACCAAATACAGCAACTCTTACTATATATAAAAGCTAGTGTACCTGGAATGACTGATTAATACTAATTCACTCAGGAATGCTATTTCAAGTCTTTAACATCTTTAACAGTCCCTCTGTTCATTTCAGATGTGAGTGTCCAAAACTGTGAAATGGATCAATCGGCGATTCTAATCACTGTTCTGCTATTTATTAAGTCAGGGCTACAATGACAGATCCTAATGTGATAATTACAATGCTGGACCCAGAGATTTGGCAGTCGCTGTGGAATACGTGAGTCACAGCACTGAGAGCACCAAGGCCAAAATGGCAAAACTCACAGAGTCCAAATAAAATAAAAGAAAATAAGTACAGAAAAAAAGAAGTCTAAGAACACACAAAATGCCAATTATAGTGAAATAGCTGTTATAAAAAGCTCTCCTCAAGAAGATAGATCAGATTTGTAAGAGGAATTACAGAGTATGTCTAGGTCTGTAATCTTTAATTGTGACAGATAAACTGCATGAAGAGAAGTTTACTTATGCTTTGTGAGAAAACACACTCGTTATATGGCACTGTGTGAATTTGCATGGTGCTACAGGATTTTGGAGTTGGGAGAATTATTGATAAAATTTAGTTAAGTGAAAGAAAGATATTTTCAATAAAATCACTGGAGGTACTGTGCATTTGACCCTCACATATACCAAGCCTTTCAACATCAACACCATGGAAAGCTATAAAGACCTGAGCTCTCTCTCTTGGGTTTTTTGGGGTCCAGATGCAAATGGGAGAAAGGGCAAAAGGGCTCCTTACAGGATCAGTACTGGTGAAGACAATGGGATCTACAGAGGGCTGCTGCAGAGGAAGGAAGCAGTTGAGTTCTGTGTCTTTACAATCTGCTACAGCTGTTCTATCTCCCTGAGGAGGCTTTTTAGAGAAAGCTGTAGCATGCAGAGAAGAGACAATGTACTAAGGAGATCCCTGGACTAATAAACTATTGACCCTGTAAAAGTGAACCCTGTAACTCATTTTTTGCAACACCTCTGAAGACTGTAGAGCTGAATGCATCATGCAAATCATTGCTGTGTCTGACTCACAAGCACAGGAGATAAGTGCCAGTGTGAGCTCTGGGGCTGGTTTTCCTCTGTCTCTCTTTCCTGGACTAACTCATTGCTCAGTTAGAAGGACAAATGCTGTGGGCTGAGGTGGTGCTCAGCACTCTGTAAGTTTTATCAGATGTGGCTTCCAAGTGCATTAAATAATATTTAATGAGACCTGTCTGCCTTGCCTGCAGTCCCCAGCAGTTCTGCTTTGTTGTGGTAGCACAGGAGAGAGGAAAGAACAAAACACTTTCTTTTGTGTTTTCTCACTTGTAGGACCCATGCAAGAGTAGGTTTGCAGTAGCACCCAAGACACAGGCGGAATCTTGTGTTAAAATCTTGCTAAAATATCACATTACTGGTCATACACTGCCAGCACTTTTAAACATAGCAGATTCTCTGGGAGGTTTATAGAGTGACTTTTAATTCTCTAAACGTAACCCTCTGCAGTTAAAAAAAAAGGGAATACCAGGTTATTCTCTTCACTATGCTTCAGAAAGTTGTGGAGAGGCCTTGTTTCTGCCATTATTTGCAGAAGGGACCACGGGCCAGATGTAGGGATGCAATGCAGGGCAGGGATGGCTGCAGGAAAAGGGTGAGTCCTGGCACATGGCATGACCAGAGAGCCCATGATGTTAGTGTGCAAACTGACAGCTTCCCCACCTGCCCCTCCTGGTACTGTCACTCCAGAAATCTCTCACAGATGCTGCAGCAAGTTCCTCTCCTCCCACAGTGGCCACCTCACATAGGGGCCTGCAATACTTCTGCATTTATCCTCTGTAGCCACAAATGTGAGATCAAGGTAATGGGGATTATTTTGCCTAAAGCCACTGAAATTCACTGTGCAAATAACTTGTGATTTTAAAACTTTTGGTGCCACAGGTTCCCTGCAGTCAGACAGTGGGGACAACACACCCATGACAGAGCACACAGGTCCTGTGTGCCTCATTTTACAGTGCTACCTGGAACATGGTTAATAATTTGCTGAGAAAATGATTAGTGCAATACACTTCCTCCAAGTCTTGAAATCTATGCATGAGTCATTTTGAAGTGAAATTGCTTTCTAAATAGGAATTGTTTCTGACACTCTGCTTGTCGAAAGCCTCCTGTTAGACACAGGGTGCCTGGAGCAGACCTTTGACTGTTTGGGCCAGCAGGTGAAAGGCAGGTGGGAACTTTCAATGAGAAAACTCAGACTATCACATGGATACACTAAAGGATGCCTGACTTCAGGTCCTGTGTCTGCACTAACTGTGTGCAGGGACCAGCCTTTCTTCCCCAC